TGAATGAGAAAGTGTGTCCAAACTTTTGGCCTGTACTGTATATGCTACACATTTTTACAGTTACAGAATGCAATGATCACTTTATGCTAACAACAATGAATGAAAATCTGACTGTTAGAAAATAATCAACTCATTTCCAGATAATTTTATGTCAAAGCCACAGGGAGCCACTGGAGAGGGTCTAAAGAGCTGCATGCGGCTCTGGAGCCACAGGTTGCCTACCCCTGCTCTATGCACATCAGATAATTAGTAATATTAACTGTAAAGCATATCATTAACTCCCCATATTGACGTAGTTTTCAGCTACCACAACAGCCTAAGTGAATTCCTGAAATTCAGTTATGGCTTTTGGTTTTGGTGTGCCACCCTAAGATTTTCAGTGGCCTTATCTGACAGCCCTTATGGAAAATATCTGGGGACACCACTGCTCATTTGCCTTTAATGTGATAAACATAAATATATATTTAATATAACACTTTATGTTGATTGAAATCATTGCAGAAATGAGTTTCAGCACCTCTATTAGAGCTTTCCTCTGAGACTTTGGGTTTGTTAATGGATTTAGATTTATTTATATATTTGTGTGTCATTCAAATACCAGCTCGGTTTTAACAGGCTCGAGTCATTTCAAGCCCCGCCCACACCACCACGCAGACCCCGCCTCCCTCTGCGCGGTGAGAAAATGATCAGAGCAGAGAGAGACACGTTTGACGTTTAAACTGTTGCACAGACTCTGTGCTGTCAGTGCACCACCGGAGCTGTGTCTGAGAGGAGGACTTTTCATCACTGTAGGTTTGGAAGCAAAATGAAGCGCAGCCACAATTACAGCTCATCAGACAGCGACCTGGACGATAATGTTGAGGTGGAGAAGGATAGCTGCGACGAAAATGGGTATGTTAACTTTTTAAAATAATTATTATGTCATGTTTAATGGGTGACTTGTATGTTTCATTTCACTAGGTGCAACATTTCAACTTTATTGCATGTGTATTTTAATTTGATGTTTTGCCTTGGTCGATAAACCTCATATTTTTTGTTTCAATGAAAATAAATGTATTGCTGTTTCATCTTTCAGTCAGCTTGATTCCCACGGCTCGATGTCACCCTCCACAACCACCCAAGTTCAAGCCAGAAAAAGGCGCAGAGGGGTAAGTGAACTCGTCATCTCTGGTGCTAAGTTGCGTTTGGTAGATCCCACTGTTTCCCTCCCACCTGTGACCTAAATTACACTCTTTCTTTTACCAATTTACAGATTATTGAGAAACGGAGACGTGACCGGATCAATAATAGTTTGTCAGAGTTGAGAAGATTGGTGCCAAGTGCTTTTGAGAAACAGGTAATTTGGTCACTGTTCCTTATAGGCAAGCACATATTTTTCCTTAAATGTTTTTTCTATATGGGAACTATTTAGAAGTATCTCTAAATAATTTCTTATTTTTTTACAGGGATCAGCTAAATTGGAAAAAGCTGAAATTTTGCAAATGACTGTGGACCATTTGAAGATGCTCCATGCATCTGGAGGCAAAGGTAACATAACTTTTTTTGGCTTTTGATAACTAATAAATGAATTCATGTTGTAATTCACTAATTTAAAAGATAATTATACTCTTGATCATCTGTCTGACCCCTCTGCTTCCTCTCCTGACAGGTTATTTTGAGGCCCATGCTCTTGCTAAGGATTACCGCAGCCTGGGCTTCAGGGAGTGCCTGGCAGAGACAGCTCGCTACCTGAGCATCATAGAGGGTCGGGACGGTACAGACCCCCTTCGTATACGTTTGGTGTCCCACCTCAGCAACTACGCGTCTCAGAGGGAGGTGCACACTGGACTGGAACACTTAGCCTGGGGCTCTGCCTACGGAACTGCCTCTGCCCATCTCCCCCACCCCCTCCTCCTACAACACCCCCAGGGCAGGACACCTGCATCCAGAAGCAACAGTAGCCCACCCTCCTCCTCCTCTTCCTCTGCTTCCTCTACATCTTCCTCCCCCTCCGCTGAGGCATCTGGGACGTCCAGACTCGGTGTAATGCCCCCCACAGAGACCCTCAGGGTGCCTCCAAACGGTTCGCTGCCCCTCAGTCTGTCTGTGCCAACCTCCAAGCTTTCGCCACCAGTCCTTTCATCCCTCTCCTCGCTGTCGGCCTTCCCCCTCTCCTTCGGTGCTTTCCCTCTGGTGTCCCCGGCGGCCCTCAGTACAGTGAGCCCCTCCTCCACCCTGTCAAAGCCTTACAGGCCGTGGGGCACAGAGATTGGGGCCTTCTGAAGCTAACAACTGGACTGAAGGCAACAGCTGAGCTGTGCCCACCACCACAGACTGGGCAGCACAACCTGCCTCTGTTTTTATAGCAATAAAACACAGGGGAACAAAGCAAACTGATTTTATTTTATTAAAGAATAAATGGGAGTGTGTCATTTCTCTAAAGAAAGGGTTTCTAAATGATTTTATGTTATTCATTGACTAATTTTGTTAACATGCACTGTCTCCAGGCTGAGGACTGATATGATGATGCGAAATATGGGCCATACATAGATTTACTGCAAGCACAAATGTAGAGGTACTATTTTGTACACAACATACTGAAACTTCTACATTTGTCGAGTATGGACGTCTGTATTTAACATAATGTAGAGTTACTTAAATCAGTCTGCTTCTTTAGTGGTATGAGAACTCATGGAAATGAATATGCATATTATATGTGCCATTGTTGGTAAACTAACCACTTGAGAATTGGAAAATTGCATTCTTGTATCTATTTGTAATATTTTTGTACCAATAAATTGAGTTAAAAGTATAAAACATGGATTTAAATCAAAGTCTTTGTTTCTGTTGCATTTGCTCCTTTAAATCTGCAGAATGTTTTGTTATCATTATATATAATCAGCAGCTATTTTCCACAGTCATGCCACATTTATACCAGCAGCCCAACTGCCCTCCAAGTGATTAATACCTTTTCTTCCCAGATGACATATAATCTGCAGGTGCATTTTTGTTACAGTCCCATAGAAGTTAATCATGAGATAATAAGGTCCCGGTTATTGACTGAAAGGCAATGCCTTCACTGTGTGCCAGGTAAGTAACCAAATCTGAGAGCATTGTTGCCCTTATGAATACCCAGGAAATCATTAAGAGCCAGAGGAAATCCTTTACAATGTCGCCCTGACCTCACCAGCCTGGGTTGGTCTGAAACGGAGACAATAGTGTGAACAGGATGGGGACACTGGAGGAAAGCGGTTAAAAAGTAACAACAATACACAAGACAGCTGGACCAATAAATCACTGTTCAGCTCCACGGTGTTGTTTCTGACAGATTTTTTTAGGGGTTCACACTTTTTATAATTACTTACTTTTATCCATCCATGCAGCAACTCAGGCTTCCAGGAGAGGCAGTCTTTGATTTGTTCCATGAGAGCTCAGCCCGCGTGCTATTAAAGAGGAACTACGCCTACTTGCAAAATCCATATATGGTTTTTTTGTGTCTAAGACAGTCCAAAAATATTAGTAAACATGACCAACTCTGCAAGATCCAGAAACTAGAGTGCAAAAACTCATATTTGTGATGTTATAGGGTGCAAAGTCTGGAGCTGCTCCATAGAACATGAATTGGGAAAGATGTGATGAATGACACTGAGAGCAGCCAGGGGAATGTTCTGACTATATGGGTACATTTTGTGTTTCAGAGCCAAGAGCACTACAATAGCATTACCATTCATTGTCTATGAAGCAGCTCCAGACTTTATACCCTATGACATCACAAATACTAGAATTCTTTACTTTTACTTACCGTTGAAATATCAGTCAGTTTAAAGAACGATACAGAAAGATGTTGGTGTTGATTCTCAGACATCCAGGTCATGGTAATCGTAAGTGCTAGTCTATATCATAGGCAACTGCAAGTTTCTTGAAGGTGTTTTACCTCTCATCTAAGAGGCTTCTTCAGCTCTGGGTTCTTTCGAATTCCCGTACCAGTCGAAAGGTATTTTTCCCAAACTGTTAAGCAAAATATCGGTGAAGATTCTGAGTAATCCAGGCCATGGTATTCTAAGTGCTATATCATAAGCAACTGGACTTGCTTGAGTTTCTTAATGACATTATGGCTCTTGGATGAGAGGTGAAACATTTTCAAGAAACTCAAGCAAATCCAGTTCCCTATGATATAGCACTTAAGATCATGATACATAAAACTATTTGTATTTAATGCTCTGAGGGATGATGATTGACACAAAAATGAGGCTGTTTCAGATCAATTCCAGATCAGGATTCACATGAGAAGATGAAACTTAAATCATCTTTTTTAATGTAGATTCAATCTGAGGTTTTCTTGTTAGTTAGTTTGTTTGCTTGTTTTTTTTTTTTGTTTTGTTTTGTTTTTGTCATTATATGTCCTCAATGTTTGCAATCCGCTTATTACGAACTTTTGCCCTGCTTTTGGATCGGTGTGAGCTCCAGCTTGGCTTTTTTTTTTTAAATCTGCCACTGCCACCTAGTGGACAAACTTTGTCCTACACATGTCTGGTGGATAATCATGGATTAATTTTAGATGTTTATTAGTCTAACCCTTGAAGAATAAGCCTGACTATATTTCAAATAATGCAAAAAATTGAGAGCAAATTTAATTAATGTTTGTACTCTCTCTTGTAGCCAGAAACCAGAGAAGTAAGTCTAAGACTTGTGATGTCATGGTGTATAAAGTCTGGAGCAGCTCCATAGACAATGCATGGGAGACTGGTTTTATGGACCCAAAAATACTCATACTGTGACTATTCCCCTGGGTGTGTCATCTATAGCATCTTTACCAGTTCATTGTCTGTGGAGCAGCTCCAGACTTTAATCCTATGACATCACAAATTTGAGTTTTAGCACTCTTGTTTTGGCATTTGTGAGAGAGTTGTTCATGTTTACAAATATTTTGGGGCTGTAGGACTGACATGTATGCATTCTGAAAATGGGAGAACGCACTAGACTGAAACATGAATGAAAAATCAACTGGGGGACGACGGTGATTCTCAGGATGTGTAGATAACTGGTTCTTTTATTTGGCAGTTTACATTTTCCCTCCTCTTGTAGCACACAAAAGTATTAGATGGTGCATGCCATGTTCACAGAACCTCAAACCTTTATTCAGCAAAGCTTTCACAGAGAAATATATGAAGGGAGTAACACAAGCAGCAGAGGATGCAGGCAGATATCAGTGGTACTGTATATTAAAAAGAGACTAGTTCAGTGTGCTGAATGTAAAGCATCCTGCATCCGTTCTCCATCTAACCCCCTAAAGAGAGCAGAGGCTAGTGATGCCTTGTGGTAAATTCGCGTTCACACACACCCACACAGACATACGTTATGTTCACACTATCAATATCAAGGTGGGAGCAACGGCACATTCCACTGTCCAACACATAGTACCAGTATGGTGTCATAACATTCAAGAGCTTAATGCCCAAATACTGTGTATGTAACAGAGCTATTGATTTTGGCCAAAGATGGATTGATTGAGACATGGCGTTGTCAGGATAAGTGGGAATCTGTGAGTGTATAAACAGATGCTCCCGGTGGGCAAAGACATTCTCAATAACAATAAAGCACCTATCAAGTTCATTATCAAGCTCATGTCAGAGGAGGTGGACACTTTATGGATCTGTGGCGTATTGTTAGGTTCAAAGCGTGCGTGTCAAGAGAATGAGTGGGTGTGCGTGCGGAAGATACTGTTGGGATACGTCGATATCTCGAGGAGGAGCCTGCAGTGTAGGTACACCAACCGTCATTCTTCACAAAGACACAGAAACATCATCATCATCATCGTCATGACATCATCAGGAAACATTGCAAATGTCAGTCTACAGCCAACTCACAACACCAACAGCTTTCACAAGAAAATGGTTGTAGAGTCAAATTTCAAAAACTGAAACGTTAATCAATCACAAACCAAATGTTTGAAATTGTACAGTGCAGTACAGTACAGTCTTTGTATTGTACTTCACCTACCATCATAGATAGATAGATAGATAGATAGATAGACTTTAAGAAAAAGTATTTACAAAATAAAAGCCATATTCCCACATTTTCTCTAAGATCAACAAATCCATTCAACTCTCAAGATGGGTGTAAGTGATGTTTGTATCCACTGATAATACTGATAGAAGTGAGTACTGGTGGTGCGGCGTGTTGTGATGTGGTGCTGAGGTCCTCGAACCTCTCGGCCTCCAGGTTTGGGTGTCTGTTCTGAGGGGGGGGGTGAGGGCGGGGTGAGGGAGGGGAGGCGGGGCTGGATGGAGGGATGTTGATGGACCATGGAAGTCAGGACTTGTGTGAGGCTCATGCTGTCAGCTCTTCCCTCAGCTCTTCCCTCAGCTCTTTGTTCTTGCGCACCACAGCTGCACGTCTCTCCTGAAAACACCCCAACAACAGAGAATGATAAGTCATCTGGGCCTCCTATCAGACAGATCTAGATTTTGAAAATAGATGTTTTGCTATTTAGATCAGCTAAGCCATTTCACTTTGGATCACCCTGATCCAGATGCAGACTTTTTATAAGATGACCAAATCCAGACAAGCGGTGCTCTAAATGCGACTACACATCACAATGTAGGCAGTCTGCCAACAAACACCGCAGTTATCACGTATCGCCGCATGTGCCACAGATCTTTGAGATAATAACTTATATTATTTCGGGGATTATTTAATGGGGACAACATTCTTTTTCTTTTTCTTTTTTTAAATTTTACTGTATAGAGAGGCTTAATATGTAGCCCAATGTCTATTTTATCTACTTAATTTAAAAAGACTGTTCAGAAAAATCAAGTGCCAAAATATAAATAAATATAGGCTATATATATTTGACTTATTTCAAAGTTAAATGACATTTTGTTCCTGAAATCCACTCTGAATCCACCTTTCTGCTGGGATCAGGATAATCCTGAATTTTTGGATCAAAGATATCACAATCCTATTAGAAAGTTCTGAACAAAATTTGCTGAAGGTTTTACCCCGATGGATTACTCTATGTGATCTAATTCGATTTCAGAGTCCATTTTGTTTTTCATTTGAAAAATCCATTTTCAAAATTTGATCTGATCCAACAGCCAAAATGCAATCAGATTACTTCTGAACAACTGGGTGCTGGTGGTGCCACGCCCAAACTTAATCATACTCAGTTTAAAGATGCAGTGGCGTCACTGAAAGGTGGCCACGGGGGCCACCGCCACCGCCACCCTGACACTGTCTCTGGCTTCCCTCCTGGCCCCCATTTGGAAGTCACATATGCATAATATGAGAGGCCACAGTGTGGTGTTTGGTTTTTTTTTAACTTGAGAAGGCTTGTAGCCAGTAACTGTTTTGTTGCTTACAATGAATATACTCCTTCAGATTAGCTGTATATCTATCTTTTAAAGGAAAAGGACAACCATTTTATATGAAGAACAATGAATTGCTTAACACATTTATATCACATTAAAACAGGATTGTTGTGGAACTTAGAATTTTAACTCTACTGGCATTAGATCATTAGCAATATTTACTGTAACATTAGAAAACCAAGTAATATCAATATGCAGTTCCTTAAATCTCGCACTGACATAGTTTTCAACCAGCTTAAATACTTAAACAGCATAATAGAATTCCTAAAATTCAATTATGGCTTTTGGTTTTGGTGTGTCACCTCAAGATTTTCCGAGGCCCCATCTGGCCACCCCTTAGAAAAATTTCTGCGGGCACCACTGTGAAGTTGGAAACAAAGAAAATGTTTTGTCATTTCTCACCTTCTCCTGTAAACGCTCAATCATAGCTGCCAGATAGGCTTCACGGTTCTCCTTGATCTGCTCCATCTTCATCTGGAGCTTCTCCTCGGCCATCTTGCTGAAGTTGCTGTTCTCTTCCATGGCCTTTAGCAACACGTCCCTCTCGTGGTCTCGCTTTTCTGCCAAAGCCCTCAGCACCTGGGCCTCCTGATACTGAAAACACACGACAAAGAATTATTTTTAATTAATTATTCAAAATCTAAAATGTGTTTTGTTTTCCATTATAAACACCTAAAGTCATTTCAAACAGGTGAAATACTCACCTTCCTCCGGTCCTCAGCAGCCTCCAGTTTCTTCTCAATGTCCTCTAAGGAGATGTCCCTCTTAGGGGGCGAGGGGAGGTTGTGGGCTACATCTGACACCGGAGATGGTGTCTTGAGGATCACCTCAAAGGCCTGGCCAGAGGCTCGCTTGTTTATGGGTTTCACCTCCATGTCTGTAAATCACACAATTATGTTCATGACACCAGCAAAATCGATGTCCAATAACACGATAAATCACTCTGACAATATGTCATTATTATGAACGTCTGTATTTACAGGGCAGATAAAGCATCCATCTGTTTGATCCAAAAGAAAATCAATGTTCAGGCTGATCCATACCTTCAAACTCACACATGAGCTTGTTGTTGCGTGACTCGTTGTTGAAGCAGGAGCAGATGAGGGAGAGGACAGACAGCTCCTTCATCTTCTCTTTGTATGCTGTGGGAATATAAACACACCATGCTGTGAAGTCTCTCCCATGAAAACAGTGAAACAGATCTCATAAGGTTTCCTCACCATCATATATCACCAATTCAGAAATATACTTGAGATATTATTAAGATATCACAAGAACAGAAAGGGAAATTTCCTCAATAAAACAATTAGCATTAGATGACCAGTGCGCCTAAATGTACCCAAGAGCCCTATTTGATTGGATGAAAGTATTCTGTAAGTATTTGTGACTCATTTCAATCAAGAAATCAAAGTGCCTTTTCATAAGATAAGATCTGGTCAAGTTTTTCAATTTCCTGTTGACCCCTCAGCTGTTTGCCCTGTGGCATGATCACAATAGCCTAATACGCAGCATCTGTCTACCTTATTGAGTGCTACTGTCATAGCTGTCAAACACAGCTGATAAATGATTTTGACTTTTTTTTAAGAGATCTGGGGTAAGATGTGCTTTCATCACTGTCTTACTGACTATTTTTAATCTCATCTGCAAATTCTGTCCCTTTCTCCATCCTCTCTCTTCTTGTGTATTTGTCAAAGTGCCCACCTGGCTATCCAGAGAGGACTACAGATTGTCAGTGCTGCTAAGCCTTCTGCTGCAAAGGCCAGTGTGAGAAGTGGCCCCTTGCTGCAGGGCTGGCCTGCCTCCCACCCTGCCATGCACCTGTCTCCTCCACTGCCGCTCTGCCACCACGCACGCCACAATAAAGCAAGTGCACATCCTGCTGTATTTTATGATCTAATTTGCTTATATTGAAGCACCACTAATGTTTTAGATACGTACACAGAGGCTGAACAGCACCAACAAATATGCTAAATGCCTGGCCTACAACAATAACTGTCCATCAGAGGAGATGACTAATGCAGGCCACAGTCTTATCTCTATGATTCAGTGTGCTTACTCCTACCACTAATTTATATTTGCTCATATGCCAATGGGGTATTTTTACAGAATAAATGGCAGCACATCTGTCACAGCTGGTGATGCATCCCAGGCAAGACATAAGGGGAGCTATAGGCACGAATAAAAGGAGCAATCCCAAATAAATGATCGCGTTTATGAGACGTTTAAGGTACAGAATCACGTTTTAAATTAATCAGATTCGGCTATGCAGGTGTAATAATAGCAAAGTAATGTAAAAGTCAGACGGATGAAGCCCTCTCTGCTTTGCTGTCGGCTAAATGGTCGGCAGCACAGCATCTTGGGTGGGGTCCGTCTGCATTATGCTGCATGTTGGGGCCGCTGTGCCATGAACCGCAGGTGCGGCGTTGTAAATAAAGCTGTCGGGGGCCGATCCGTGATATCTAATTATAATCTGTCACACAATATATGATCAAAGCAAATGAGGACTATCACATTAACACAGATGAGGATAATGAAGGAGACATTTCAGTAACCTAATGACGGAGGATGCTCAGATTCTTTTTACCAGGCTCCTGTGCGGAGACAATAGACTCACAGCCGACTGAGAAATATAAAGATAAGTGATCATTGTTGCGGTCATTACAAAAAAAGAGAAAATTCCTAAGAGGAGCCATTACAGAAGCACGACTACCTAGACAATACCAGGCCGACATGAGCTCTACACAGAACAGGTCTGACACAGGTCCATCGATCCATTCACACATCCATCCACGCAACATTTTAAACATGATCAGTCTCAACACGCTTACCGCTTGCTGTTTTGGCCATGGCTGATGTATTTGTCCTCAGAGGATGCTGTAGCTCTGTTCAGGTGAACGGTGATGCTGCTTAAGGCACTGAGTCAGCGAATAGTCCGGGGTAGGATCGGATGGCAAACAGGAGGTGGGCACGCACGGGAGCGCGCAGGCAGACCCTCCTCTTGTCCTCTGACGCGCCAGAGCGGCTTTTTCAGCATCCTATGTGACCATATAGCCTACTTAAAGCTGTCGATTCAAGCGCAGACACACAGGGAAGTCGATAATTATGTTCTCCAGACCGGACACTTAAAGACTTGTGTTTCACAGGATGCACATATATGAGAGAAGCTGATCCAGCACTGCAGCAAACATGTTTATGCCACTTAAAAAACAAAGGATCATCTTATCTTGCAATCTGTGATCAAATAAACTAATGCGGACTCATTTTCAGAGCCAGTGTGTGGTGAATTGTGACTATTTCGCCTACTTGATATTAGAAATGAGGCTTGCTGTTAGTCAGACCGTCCAATTTAAACTTTGACGTCATCTTACGTCAGTGTTGGCCTGCAAAGACAAAAAGCGTGGAGTAGGGTTATAACTTTGACTAATATCTTCCAAAATAACCGGTGTATTAAAATAGATATTTGTAGGAATTCAAGTTGAACCCAGTGACTGAAGCTCTTTACAGCAGTGTTGTTTACTGTTATTAAAGTATCCAAAGCAAAATTACTCAAGAGGTACACAGGCTGATCTAAAGACTAGGTGTGGGAATCACCAGAGGATCTACGATATGATATTATCACGATACTTAAGTCACACAATATTATCGTGATTTTAAATATGTTGCAAAATGTTTAGTATTGCCCTGTGATAGTCTGGCACCTGTCCAGGGTGTACCCCGCCTCTCGCCCAATGTCAGCTGGGATAGGCTCCAGCCCCACTGCGTATGAATGAGTGATTGAATCAATGTTCAGTATTGCACTAAAATATGTTGCGATATATTGCGATAAATTACCTTTCTTCAACTGTAAATTATGTGGCCTGACTAAGCAATTGATTGTATCATTTTAGTTGGCTACCCAAAGTTTAATTTGTATTTGTAATATTCATAAATTGTGTAATTTAAAAAATCAATACGATATTGCCACGCAAAAATATCGCGATACTATACTGTATCGATTTTTTCCCCCACCTCTACTAAAGACAGGCAGATGTTCTTGAGCAGGCATAAGTTTAAAGCAAAGTGTATCTGTATCAGCCACACTCATACCTCAAAAGGGATCCTCCCCAAGACTTTCCTGTTATTTTTAGAGTGGTCTGCAGTGGTCAGGATGTTGCTCGTACTGCAACAAACCTCCTGCTTCACACATAGCGCTTCTTGCACTGAGAAATAGCTGTAGGATGTGAACCTGTGCCACTCTGATGAGCCAGAACACAAAACAAACAACTTCACACTGCATGAGGATTTAGTGGTTTTAATACATTCAGTGTCTTTTACCCTTTTACCCTTACATTTAGTGACATTTTGTTGCAGTTTTTAGGTTCTGAATGAAACTTGTAGAAACATTAGAGAGGCCTAATTGTAAGAAAAACAAGCAACATAAATTCTGCATAAAACACACTCCAGATGATACATATTTTTTTAACAACCATACACCATTCATCATCACCAGTTTACAGTTTCCATGAAATATTTCTAGACAATGAGATGATTTTGTTACAGCACCGTTGTAAACATAGACTCCCTAAAAGTCATCAAGTTCAGGTTTTATTGAAAAGAAACTTCACATGTTGTAAAAAACAAAGGCAGCCTTAAACATGACGTATTTCCTTTAGGTTTTGGCCTCTTGTCCACATGCAAATAGTTTTAGGTCACTAAAAGAGAGATTTATTAAAACACCTTATATGATGTAATGATGTAATCGCCTCTGTAATCTCCAAACATTTTTTGTGAGCATTGCTTGGTCCAAAGACTACCTCACACTTAAACTATTGCTGTACCACTTCCCTGACGAAGAGAGGTGTCTGCTCCACCTTATATTATTTGGGTGGCCTCAACATTTGAGGTTTAAAGCCCATCAGAAATTGTGGTTTTGAATCAGGCCTGGTCAAACCAGCAAATGATGGGACACTTTTCAGGGTGGGATTGTCATCAGTTAGGAATGAAAGACAGACATTTGCATGTCCAGAGCATCACTTGTGTCTTCAAGTGAGCTCCTCCACCCTTATATCAAGGGAAATAAACTGTGATAAGATCTCTAAGACCTAAGTTAAATACAAAAGTAAAATAGTCCAGGACATATAAGGACAGTGTCAAAGAATAAAAGTCATTGCAATATTTCAAATTTTAATCTAGAGGTATTAAAGGTATGGCTATTTGTGAGCAGGAAAGAATGTTTAAAAAATGTTTAAAGCTGAGTTATTGCATAGCACCATGTTTTCAGGAGAGGATACCCAGAATTTTATGTGGGCTTGCACTTAGCTACAAACTGCTTTGGCCTTTAGCTGCTTCTTGATGTAGTGAGCAACCAGAATCTGAGGATGTTTTTGGTAACCGCGAAGAACTTCATGAGAGCTGCTGAGCTGATCCCCCTTCAGCCGATCCAGTAATGCCACACAAACCACAGCCGCTTTACAAAGAAACAAAGAAACATTCTCTCAGTAAAGAAACTCAACGAGGTGTGAGGACAACTTGAAGTGTTTCGACACACTGAAGTCAACTGGTCAACTATAATATAATGCTGGTGTTATATTTTCTTACCTCGTAGATCGCTCAGCTTGCACATAGCAGCAAAAACTGAAGACTCCATTTCAATATTGCAGATTCCTGCTTCACTGGCTTTTTTGAGGTAGTCCTTTTTGTCCTCCTTAGTGTAGAAGCAGAAAGCTCCATCCAAACGAGCTTGTCCTGAGTGATTGATCAGACAGAGCAGAAAGACAGAAGAAATGGTTAAAGATGAACATTATAACTTAAGTACTTATATGTACAAGTACGTACATGTGGGTGAAAAATATGAACACATCCATGCATCAGAAATCATACCTTCATAGAAATCCAGTGTACACATGGTGTTGCCAATCACAGTCTCAAACTGGTTCAGCTCCTTGCCACACTGCAGCAGCTCCTCAGCCAAGCATTGGTCCAGATCAGTATCGTGCACCACCGTCTTCCCCAGGATCACCTGCTCGAACTTGGGCTGGAAGGTGGCATCCATGGACTGCTTGGTGACGACAACTGTGCCAGGCTCAAGCCCTGGAAACCAAAAAATGGCGAGTGAGATAAACAATCATTTCTAGTCTGAATGTACAGCTTCAACTAAAAAGTACTTTTCATATATGTTAAAACACACTGAACTGGCATAGACTGTATTAAATCACATACGCATTGTGTATATTTTCAAATGAAAAACATCTTAAGTAAGATTTCATATTCAGAAATCTGAAGAAATAACATCATGGGCAAACAGCAACTAAATGTAAAAAGCCATATTGGATGAAACTGCTCTAAAACCTAAGGGACTTTTAGCTCCCTCTATTGGTCAAACTAAGAAAAGGTGCTCAAATATCATCCACTATGACAAGCACATTGGACAACACAGGGAATCCAAGTCAAGTAATTTTCTCTTACATAGGTTCACTGACAGATTCAAGAGGAAAGTAGCATCCTTATAGAGTGTTAGCAGTATTTATGGTTTGATAATGCAACACATAAATAATCACATGTATTATCAGGCATTCAGGCAACAAAAGATATTGGTAAATATTAAGCTTACCTATTCCACCTGATGTTCCAATGCGTATAACTGTAACATCTGTGCAATGTGCGTGATGGAGGAGCTTTATTAGCTCATGCAACATTATGGCAATAGATGGTATGCCCATCCCATGCTGCAAAATAAAGCACCAACATGTCACACACTTTTCACATCTATGTAGTTTTGTAATAGTTTACTAAGTACACAGATTATTAAGATTACTACTATTTTATAGCGTAGCATCTGTTTACAATATACAAAAATGTCATGATAGGTGTTACATACACTGACTGACAGAACAGGGCCGACTTTGTACATAGCATAGCGGTCTGTTCCAGCACAGATGTTTGGGTACTCTGATTTCGGGTCTTCCATACCGAGCTCAGCAGCAATGTACTCAGTGAATGCTTTCATTCTGCGAGGACTGCCCCCGACACACACAAACTGAAAGAAATCACACACACACATACAAAAACATACATACATAAGAGCAGAATAAAGATCGTTATGAAGGTGTATGTTTTTTTCATGTTATAAGAATAGTTACTTTGACGTCACCAAACATCGCTGGTAGGTTGTGAGTTCCTGTTCCTAAAGCAAAGTGGTAGAGGTTGTCATCTTTCAGTCCATCCAGGTAAGGGTTGTGCACATAACTAGAGGAGGAATAAGAGATTTCAGAGGGTCAGTTCTAGTCTGATAATCAGACTCAATTGCCATTCTGTTTTACTTCATTTATTAAATGGCTGAATAAATCTGAGATGTGGGCTTCTCCATGTAACATCAGTTCAACCAAATCTGAAATACATATTTTCTCACTTGATTGTGTGATACAGAGATGCAAATAAGTAGAATTTATGTACAGTGACAGTGCATGATATGTATGTGTTAAAAACAATGTGCATTTTAGCTGTAAAAACACAGCCTAGTCTATAATGGAAGTAAGAGGATGTTTTAGTGACGGTCTGTGGTACAAAACTGTTGATGTTTCTGGTTGAGTCTGTTGGAACAGGTTGTGCAGGGTCAGCCCTTTTTCACCTACAACATGTCAAGTACCGCTACTTAGTCAGTGATTTCAGCATCAGATACCAATGCACAGAGGCATCTTTTGCCATGGTATGATAACACTGGGCGGCAGCTATGTCTGATGCTTCCAGCCCCAGATACTGACTTACAGCGACACCTTTTTTGCAGTGGTATGATACGCACTGAGCAGCAGCTATTTCCGACTCAGCCGGACACCACCCTAACAGCAAGAATGTCCCTACAGGCTTGACTTTCATCCCCAAGCCTACTGTTCGTTTTCCACGTGTAACCAAAAGTCAGTAGATTTCTCTTGCATTTAGCATGCTATGTCACATGACCTGTGTCACATAACGTTCATAGGAACTGTACTTATTTGAAGCTAAACTATGATATTTTGTTTGAACCTAACCAGGGACTTTGTTGCCTAACCTTAAGGAAATAAAGGTAAAAATGAAGTGTTTTACTTGCGTAGCAATTTTATTTTGAAAAAGACATATGCACATAATGAGCAGAAACTGTATACTTCCTGTGAAAGCGGAAATATATTTTGAAAAGACACAGTGCATGTAACGAATGTCAACTGAGACACCGTCTGTGAACGTCCAAAACCAACACAAGAGGCTACCTAGCATGTCATATATGACATTTAGGTCCACTGACAAAGTAGCTGTATTTGATGAGTTGGGATGAGAATGTGTTTGAGAAAGACGTCCATTCAACTGTATGGACATACTGGAGGATATAGTTTGTGGTGCGGGTTCCCCTCAGGGCTGAATACTGGTTAGTTTTATAAGCAGGTAAAGTGTAATGACAATAGAGAAAATTCGCCTGTGAGAACAAGTCCAGACGTAGCCAAAATACTTGTGGCTTAATGGAGGATTTTATGATTGCAAAAACCAGTCAAGTCCTGTTGTGTCACACCTTCTGTCTTAGAGCAGCCTTTAACAATGCCATTTAGACTGTTTCTGTCTTTCAATGCGAGGCTGTGAAACCAGCAGATAAACCAGCAGATTCCACAGTTTCATTGTGAATAATGCTTTCTTGGCTGCGTCTCTTTTGGTACGTCTAGAATCAATTTTCAGCTCCTTAGTTTTAGATACATTTAAGTCCAAGAAAATATTGCCACACCAAGAAATAAAATCCAAAAGAGCTTTCCCATGGTCTGATTCTGATCCATGGAGAAGGGACAGCAATGCGGTATCATCCAAGACTTTGACCAAGTAGCTGCCCTCCTGGGTGCTCCTGCATTCATTAGTGTACACACTAAAGTAAAGGTAAAGAACACAGCCCTGTGGTGTGCCAGTGGACAAAGCTAGAGAGTCTGAGAGACAGCTATTTACAGAAACCCTCTGCTCTCTGTTAGTTAAGAAGTCCAATATCCATAATACAAGCTGGTGGGGCAGATTAAAGAACAAGTATCAACTTCTCAAGACAGAGATGAGGCTGCATTGTGTTGAATGCTGATGAAAAGTCTGCAAATAAAAGCCTAGTGTGGGCCTGTGGCTTTTCCGAGTGCTTAAATAGGTTGTTGAGTTTAAAAAGCTTGGCGTCCTCCACACCTCTGTCTGCCTAATAAGCAAACTGCAGTGGATCAATTTTTCCATCAGCATGTTCTTAATAACAATCTCAAAGATCTTCATGCACGACTGGTCTAAAACCACTGAGTCGCTCAGGGATGGTGTTCTTAGGCATGGGAATTACAGTAGATTTCCATATCGCGGGGATCTGATTACAGTCAGGTGACTTTTAAATGATATGATGGAGGATGGAGGACACCCCTACATTGATCAGCAAAGTATCGTAGTGCACGCCCACAAATCAGTCTTATGTTCACATGTTTCAGGAGATCTCTGACTTCAGAAAGTGGCAACCGAGTCCGAGTGTACATACACACATTTATCAGAATAAGAAAATGGGTTTAAGTGAAATGACCCTTTAAGAAGATGTAAACACTGTCTGCCTCTTTGATTTACTGTTCATTGTTAACAATGTTCAAATGGAGTAATGACATTTAAATGTTTATTGTAACTGAATTTGGACCATTAAAGGTAATTACTCACACAGGACCAACATTTTCTATGGGTATGCTGGGCAGTGAAACTAAATAGGGCAGAATAAATGACTGGTATAGCCACATTCCTGTCCTTAAGTCCTGTCACACCCAGAAGTTTCCTAATTTACCTTACAGCATATTCTGAGTCATAGAGTGTCAACACATTGAGAAGCTTTTAAACAACTTTTAAATATTCATTTGGGATAGTGGAACTTCTCACCTGCTGCATGACACATCCTTTGGATTCATCTTACTGGAAAAAAAGGTGACAATATTATTATATGACTGAGAGCAAAACCAACACCTGAACGTTATAATTACAATCTGTGGTGTAACTTATATTAAAACCTTAAATGTGGTGAGGAATTAGCCTTACCTAAAACTCAATTAATACACTTTTTTGTCCAATTCAATAAGCTTTATTGGTATGACATTTCATGTATGTTGCCAAAGCACAATTACAGTTTAGGACAGTAAAAATTCATAAATGTAAATGTATTAATACAAAACTCTAGACATAAATTTAAAAGTTTGAAATTTTTAAATTAAAAATACCCAATAGATAATTAAATCTTTACCTTTGTGATCAGCAAAACAAGTCAGAAAACTACAACACAAACACCACACAGTTGTTTACTCCTGGTATGTTGTTGCTCGACTGAAGGTTCCCGTTTGTGACTAATCAGTTTCTAAACACCTGATGCCAAACCCTCCAGCCCACAGTGACGTGACGTCCAGCAAGTCACAACCATCCCAAGCATCATGGGATGTAAGCTCTAACTTATCCCAGTCACGTATCCATAGATATATACACATAGATGCCGTACCCTGGCTTGTGGGATGCGTCAATACCGCCGCCATCTTGCCTAGGTGCTCTGACCTGTTCAGACCCGTGTCAGACTCGGCAAAAATGCCACATTTTTGCTCTGCATTTGGGTGTACGAACGAGAGAAGTGTTAAAACCAAGCAGAAGGGAATGACATTCCACAGGTAAGAAGTTGTTTTACAATATTTTACTGTTACGAACATGAGATATGTATCTCAAAAAGTGATCCTTCTTTTAAGCTAATCAAGTAAAGTAACTGTCCTGATCTGGTCCTAATGCCAAATTAAGCTAACGCTATGTCACACAACTTAAAGAAAAAAGGTTAACCTTTATATAATAACGTTATTACTTATAAAATTATGATGCTTTGTCAAACAGCTATGTCGGTGTAGTTATGTGTTATTCCAAATTGTCAACTGTGTGTTTCATGGCACCAACGTGACATAACGCAGCATAACGTTAGTAGTTAACCTGTGGCCTGAATTGTAACTACAAATTATGTGGAACTGCGTTTTTCTGACACACTTATTTTGTGTGTAGTTTCCCAAAAAACACAGATAGCAGACGGGTATGGGTAGCAGCAGTGAGGAGAAAGGACTTTGTCCCGAGTGACTCCTCAGTCACCTGCAGCTGTCACTTCAGACCTGAGGACTTCGACAGGACTGGGCAGACTCCTAAAATAATACTAGCTACTGTACACTGTATTTTTTGTAAATATGACCTAATAATGTAAACAGTTCTGTGTCCAGGCTCCCATGAGCACTGTGGTGTTATACATATGAGATTAAAGCAAAATTTTGTGTAAACATGCAGCTCTAAGTCATTTATTTTCACTTGTACAAAACCAACATTTGTCAATCAGAATCTACACTGCAGCTCGGCACAACCCTGCTGATACACTATTTTTTGCACATTGTGTGAAATGTGAATAAACATTTATAGTCCAAATTAATAATTAAATGACATCATGGTGGGCATTGTACATCTAGTAAGAAAAAACAATATTTATTACATGGGGAAAGTTTAGTTTAAATGTGTTGTATAACTATTACTGTTACTTTATCTACATAAGATCAAATATTTTGGTATCAAAAGCTGCATTTTTTATTTAACCAAGTATCCTGTATCATAACTACATGTCTGACAATTGTAACAAACCAAACCGCATGAAAATCGGTTGAGAATTCAGCGAGTAATGATGATTTTAATCATAAATAATCTCCTGCCTCAATAGACATACATGCATTAGGCAGCGCGGCTCCACCTGGGCAAGATGGAGGAAGCGTTGACGTATCGCTCCAATGAGGAGCACCGTTGAATGCGGCATCTACGTATATATATCTATGTCACGTATCTGCGTTACAAAACAGCAGACTTTACCACATTACCACACGCATTGATGACAACAGAGAAAACCACAGGATACAGGATCTGTCATAAACCCATCACTCCATCCACCCATGCATCGAGATTAACATTTCCAGTCTGAACACGCTTGCTCTTTTGGCCATTTTTTCTTCATAATTTTGATACGCCCTCCTCAGGAAATCAATGGTCATAACAAAAAATATTTTATAGATCAAAACAGCAAAAAGAGATGAAATTGATCAGTATATTGAATACCCAACTGAAAGAACATTTAAGAACTTAAACGCATGCTGTCCAACCGAGTGGACATGTGAAAAACTCTTAAAAAAGTTCATGTTTAAAATAATGCACTTCATAATTTACTTATGCATAAAGAGGAATAAAACACTCAAACAAATCTTGACTGAGGTCCTAATAAATCATGTATGAAAGGGTTAAGCCCTCAAAAATGTAAACAAGTCATTAGACTCACAAGTCAGTCTTTAGACGCTTTGCTTAACTAAATCAGAAAAAGCCAGTGATCTCTGATTGTCTGGTGGCGAGACTAACAAGTCATTTATATTTGAACACAGGTATATTTGTCTCTTGCAAGAAAAAGATCCTGATCTCAATGAGATTATCTAATGGAATAAAAAGTTGTTTATATAAAAATGAGGGAATATCTTGTGGAGAATTGGTGTTCATCCCTCCATCAGAGTTTGACAGACTTGGCACAGAGCACTGACACTGTTCTGAAAGCTCAAGGGAGCCCGACTCCATACGAAGACACTTTATGTTGACTAACTCATCTGTATTGCAGCACATCTCATAGGCTACATTACTGCTTCATTCTGTAATTTATAATTCATTCACCTCTCCATTTTCTACATTCTACATTCTACTGCCTATCTCCTGTTGGGGCAGCAGTTCCCGCTGAGTTACAGGCACAATGAATGATTTCCAAAAAATAAAAACAGGCCTACTTTGAATTAAGTACAACAGTCGTGGACTAACTGTGCTAGTTTGAATTAACGTTTTAAACATAACAGCAGTTAAAAAATGCCATTTTCTATGGCTAGCTAATGTGAAGACATTAACAAAGTGATATCAATATTCCAACATGATCTCACTATGATTTATTAGTTTTAAAACATTAATTGGAACATTACAGAAGCCTAATCTAAGAAAAACAACATAAATTCAGCATAAAATATATCTCAGATGATACATATTTGGCAACAACCTATATAACATAAAGACAAATTTATCAATATTAGTGCCTCTCTTTTGGTTTTCATGAAACATTTAAACTAGCTGATTTTGTTACAGCACTGTTGTACACACAGACTTACCAAAAGTCAAGTTGTGATTCAGGTTTTATGGCAAAGGAACTTTATATCATACGTCATATAAAAACAGAGGCAGCCTTAAATAAAAAAATATGGCCATAGGCTTCTACCTAACATTTAAGACTCATTTAAATTGTATTTAAGATAAATACAAGATGAAACAACAGTTAAATAGTGCATGCCAGTGTATGAGGACAGTGTCAATGAATAAAACTCAGTGCATAATCTTAAAGTTTAATCTAAACCTATTTAAAGGTATGGCTATTTGTGAGCAGGAAAGAACGTATAAAAATGTTTAAAGCTGAGTTATTGCATAGCACCATGTTTTCAAGAGAAGATACCCAGGACTTCATGTGTGCTTGCAAACCACTGCTGCACCTAGCTACGTACTGCTTTGCCCTTCAGCTGCTTCTTGATGTAGGAGCCGACCAGAATCTGAGGACGTTGTTGATAACTGTGAAGAACTTCATGAGAGCTGCTGAGCTGATCCCCCTTCAGCCGATCCAGTAATGTCACACAAACAACAGCCGCTGTACAAAGACACAAATAAATGTTAGAAACTCAATGAGGTGTGAAGACAAGTGTCTGTTTCGAGATGCTGAAAAATTGGTCAACTATGATATAATGATGGTGTTATATTTTCTTACCTTGTAGACCGCTCAGCTTGCACATAGCAGCAAAAACTGATGACTCCATTTCAATATTGCAGATTCCTGCTTCACTAGCTTTTTTGAGGTAGTCCTTTTTGTCCTCCTCAGTGTAGGAGCAGAAAGCTCCATCCAAACGAGCTTGTCCTGAGTGATTGATCAGACAGAGGAGACAGACAGAAGAAATGGTTAAAGATGAACATTACAACTGAGGTACTGTGCATAGTAGGCACATTGAGGGGTGATGCCATCCCCCTTTGTTTACAAAATGACCAAAATGAGCCCCCCTTGTTAACCTGACATCCATTTCAACCCAGGTCCAGACCCAGAAACTGATGGAAAGAGGATATTCTTAGCTTTCTACTCAAAATATTAACCAAACTACATCCCATTACATAGGGATCATCATCGAGCCATGACTTTCAAAGCCTACTGGCCCTCTGAACTTCTGATTGGAGGACCCTTTTGCGGACTAAGGGAATATATTAATCATGGTCTGGACACTTATTCGGACTTTAGGACCTCTTTAAAGGCACTTTTTTATCGCCTCTCTTGTTTACAATGCACTAAACCTGAGTGAATTGTGCTGTGGTGAACTGAATGATTGAATTGTGAAGAATCTAACTGAGCTATTGATGTGTAACATGTCCATATTGACAAATATCTCAACATTAAACATTATATTTTGATGCGTGATGTGAAGCAGCTTAGATCAAACTCAAATCTGTCGCCATTGGTTTTAAGAGGTTTTAATATTCTGAAAGAATTTGTCATCATACCATTAATCACCATGTCATCATGGCATTCATTTTGTGTCATATTCTGAGCCCAAGACTTGAGTTTTTTAATAGCAAACAAAACCCCAAAATGACCCAAAATCAAGATGCTTACAGAAATCCATGTTTATCTTTAACTGGGCTGAAGGACGAAAGTGCCTACTGACTGTGTATATTAGTTAAAATATGATGAACGCATCAGTTTGTTTTCAAAATCATACCTTCATAGAAATCCAGTGTACACATGGTGTTGCCAATCACGGTCTTAAACTGGTTCAGCTCCTTGCCGCACTGCAGCAGCTCCTCAGCCAGGCTTTGGTCCAGATCAGTATTGCGCACCACCGTTTTCCCCAGGATCACCTGCTCAAACTTGGGCTGGAAGGTGGCATCCATGGACTGCTTGGTGACGACAACTGTGCCAGGCTCAAGCCCTGGAAACCAACAAAGGTGAGTGAGACAGTGATATCTAGTCTGAACAAAAAGAGAGCTTCAATTAAAACTTTTTTTTTAATTATTATTATTTATGTTAAATCAACACACTTGACAAATAAAGACAGTATTCAAGGGACCAGTGTGTTGGATTTCATGGCATCTAGCAGTGAAGAACCAACTGCATACCCCTTCCCTCACCCCCTCCCTTTCCAAGCGTGACGGAGAACCCACAGTGGCCTTCTCTAGGGCCAGAGCAGATTTTCTTTACTGTGACAGCATTATAAGCAAGATGCAGACACAGAACTTTACCGGTGTGTAGTTGAGATGACAAGTAAGGCTGAGTTTGCAGATAGGCTTGGTCCAAGCAAGGGGGCTGCTCTAAAACCTGAGTGGCTTTTAGCTCCCTCTAGTGGTCAAACTAAGAAAAGGTGTCTGTAGGCAATATCACCTGCTCAAATATCATCCACTGTATGGCCCTACTAACCCATCTCATGGCAAGCACATTTGACATTTAACACAGGGAGAGCAATTCAAATCATCTTACAATAGTTCAGTTTGTTCATTGACAGATTCAAAAGGAAAGTAGCATCCATATAGAGTGTTAGCAGTATTTATGGTTTGATAATGCAACGCATGAATAATCACATGTATTATCAGGCATTCAGGCAACAAAAAAATATTGGTAAATATGAAGCTTACCTATTCCACCTGATGTTCCAATGCGTACAATTGTAACATCTGTGCAATGTGCGTGATGGAGGAGCTTTATTAGCTCATGCAACATTATGGCAATAGATGGTATGCCCATCCCATGCTGCAAAATAAAGCACCGACATGTCACACACACTTTTCACATCTATGTAGTTTTTTAGCACACTACTATTTTTTAGCGTAACAATTGTTTACAGAATACAAAAGTGTAATGATAGATTTTACATACACTGACTGACAGAACAGGGCCGACTTTGTACATAGCATAGCGGTCTGTTCCAGCACAGATGTTTGGGTACTCTGATTTCGGGTCTTCCATACCGAGCTCAGCAGCAATGTACTCAGTGAATGCTTTCATTCTCCAAGGACTGCCCCCGACACACACAAACTGAAAGAAATCACACAAAAAACTTTAATAAGAGCAGAACAAAGATGACTGTGCAGGTAATTATTTTCCACAAATTAATGTAACAAAAATCATTACTTTGACATCACCAAACATCGCTGGTAGGTCATGAGTTCCAGTTCCTAAACCAAAGTGGTAGAGGATGTCATCTTTCAGTCCATCCAGGTAAGGGTTGTGCACAAAAACAGTGCTGTGGGTGGAATAAGAGATTTCAAAGGGTCAGTTCTAGTCTGATAATTGAACTTAACTGCCATTTTGTGTCACGTCACTGAATGGCTGAATACATCTAAGACAGCGGCATCTCCATGCCAGGTAAGGAATTTGACTTCAGTGTTCTTACACAGAAATCATCAAAACAGCTAAGAACAAGGGAAACAAAGCTAAACAAATAAAGGTAAAGAATAGACAGGACTATAATGTACATAGATGTGTGCAAAATAGGTGAAGAAAAAAGCAACAATTACAAACAAATAAAACTGTCTATAGACAAATCAAGTGTTTCTGTAAGTTGTAAAAAAATATAAATAGACAGTGTTCTGTAGCGCCTGTCAGAGGGGAGAGGTTGGAGCAGGTTGTGTCCACAGTGTGACGGGTCTGCAGAGACCTTAGTGCAGAGGTGGGACCAAGTCATTGAAAATAATAACTTAGATTTACAAAACTCAGAAATACTTTTAAAATTTTGTATTCATCTGCAAGTTTGTTGGAAGTTGATTTATCTGTATGTAATTTTCTGTAATTTTTGACCCACATACTGCAATCCATTTTCTCATTCACCACCGTGTAGATTTTGTACGAAATTGAAATTATCTGTGGTATCATTTTTTCCAACCAGCCTTCGGTCACGATAGTTCTTCATGGTCCTCTCCAACAACTTGATTGGATGCAGTCAAACTGGTACAAACACAATGGATCTAGAGAACTGAGCGCTGACTTGCTGGGAATTAAAGTGTTAACTTTAGTTAATTCAGGGAATAAATTGAACTGAATTGATTCGTGGCGCACATTGTTTATGATATACTTTTTAATATTAGAGCTCAGGGAAGGTATCAAGTATTTTAAAGTCAATAGTCTGCAGCCATCCGGGCCAGCTGATTTGACCCGATTCTGGGGTGTCATTTATACAGAGTCTCAGCTCAGTCAGGCAACCGGATGCGGCCTGGCTAATTTCATCCGGCATGCTGAGTTGGGGCCAATGTCGGGCCAGGTGATTTCTGTTAACAGCCCAGTGATGGCAGTGTCGGCAGCCGGAATCAGGGGCGTCATTCATACCAAGCCTCAGCCAAGTCAGGCAACTGGACCTGGCCCAGCAAATTTCATCGGGCATGCCGAGTTTAGGCCGATTCTGGGCCAGGTCATTTTGGCTACCTGGAAAGTAATGAGTTATTGGTGTTAAAGTCCCAGCGGAGTTGCGAGTCATTTTTGATTTTGTGGAGTCTAAAGTCATCAAATTTGTGACTCAAGTCTGACTTGAGTCCAAGTCATGTGACTCGTGACCACACCTCTGCCTCAGAAGCCCCTTTTACACTGCCAGATTTTCCGCGAATGTTGGGCCGTTTTGCCGGCAAGCTGCGAGCGTTCAGACACACAGAGCCGGATTGGCGAGTTGATTCGAGGTGCCCAATTTTCTGCCCCATAGGGTAGTCATATTGGCAGAGCCCTTTTAGTTTAAACAGACCGAGGCAGCCTTCCGCAATGGGAGGGGCTGTTGAAGACTTGTGGGAGGAGCTGTTGATGACGCAGCACGTGTGACCCACTGGCGGTAGACTAACAGGAAACAGCTGATAGCAGGAATTAGCGAGCAGCTAGTAGCAAGAGGGAAACGCAAACCTGACAGACACTGTAAAGATGAGCAACTGGGGAGACAAGGAATTGCGCGCCCTCCTTGTCCTCGTAAAGGAAGAGTCCATTAACTGTCAGATGACAGGAACGGTGAAGAACAGGCAGACTTACAAGAGAATCCCCGAAGGACTGACTAGCCGCGGCTTCCCTCTAACGTCACTGTTTACGTCACATGCTGAGCTACACATTTTGTTACTTCCTCACGCCCCCCATTGCCCCGAAAAAGGAGCATTCTGTATGAACAAAAGTAGGTAGGCGGCATTTTGCCACAATCCCTGATTTTGTTTTTATACTGCAATGCTGAAAAAACACTACTTGGGCTTTCCTGCAAATTTGCACAATTCCTATCTAAAAAGGGCTACAGTAAAGTTTTCCTCAATACTATTTTCTACCAACAAGAAATGGTCCACATGAAAACTGTCGACAGAGATTCTATTATACCAAGTATTGTTTCATTGCCACCGATTTAATCAGTCGTCACTTTATCAAGTAGGTATACCATCTTAAACTAATGCAGTCAAATATAACAGTCTTGTGATAAATCCTTCATGTGGGTTATTATGATCAGCTTTTGTAAGGTGTTAGTTGTTAGTTTTAGCTAACTGGCAACTGAGTGTAGATATCCATACATATAAGAGTAAGAAAATGTGTTTTGAATGAAATGACCCTTTAAGGTGAGGTTGCCACACTGTCTGCAGGATGACTGTCCCTGTATCCTGTCACACCCAGAAGTTTCCTTTCACCGGAACCAACCTCACATCATATCCTGCGGTAAAGTTTAATCATCAAATGTGTCCACATAGAGACAAGATTTAAAGCAAACTTTTAAACATTAACTTGGGATGGTGGTATTTCTCACCTGCTACATGACGCCGCCCGCTTGTCGTCCTTTGGATTCATCTTCCTGGTGGCAAAAACCAGAAGTGACCGTGAATAAAACCAACCTCTACAAACACCCTACAAACTGGAGGCGTGATGTTAAGCGTAAACCTTAAACGTGGTGAGCAATTATCCTCACCTCAAACTTAATTAAGACACATTTGGTCAAACTGTGTAGCGTTACGTTCACGCACACCGCGCTTTGTCGCTCACAGCGGTCAAAACGAAACAATTCGCTCTTTACCTTCCAGATAAGCCAACAGGACAAACAAAGACAGAAAACAAAACAACACAAACACAAGACAGGTATTTACCTTTGGTGTGTTGCTCCTCGACAGCCGGTTCCTGTGTTTCTGATATATTAAAACCGCTCTCTGCACATCTGACGTCGGCACCAGAAAGTGAGCCTCCTGCTCCCAGTGACGTAACGTCGACACGTCACTAGCATCACAACATAACTAGCCGACTCATGGGATGTAGCTTCCCTCTCTCTGTCACGTACATCAGGAACCAAACAGCGGACGTGCAATTACCACGTTCATTGGTGTCAGCATAGGAAAATCCCTCTGTTGTCCAGAGATTCCCAGCAACTGCATTTAATGGTGTCATTATGGTTGTGACAGTGGTGATAACCTCCACGTATCTGCTTAAAAGACTGGTTGCTGCTATGTTTTCACTGCTCTGGATTATGATTTGCTGTACATGAATGCATCTGCGCATAGTTTGCACATGGTAGATGCTGTATATCAAACTGTAAAGCCCTCATTCATCTCTGCAGCTTTATTCCAGGGCTGACTGGCCTTCTTTGACCTTCCATAGGCTCAGTCACTAGTATTTGCTTTTATAAAGCCCTCCCTCTGGCATTTGAACTTTGAACAGAGATCTATAGTGTGAGATCTAAAGATTTAGTTTTGCTGTCTGTTCCTGCCGTACGGACTGAGCTGGGAAAGAAAGCTTTTATGTGCTCTGCTCCTCTCACTTGGAATAACTTTCATAAAGATTAAAAACTACATGAATTGGTCTCTACCTGATTTTAAAGCTCTCATAAGTACAAGGTTGAATGAGTCGGTTGGATGTTGTCATTGTGTGTAAGTGTTCTAATATTTGTACATGTTACTGTGTATATTTTATGTGTTTTATTGTGTGGTTGTTTGGCTGTAACTTTTTGGGTGGTGCTGCTTTGGCCACAATCTCATTGGGACTAACCTGATTAAATATCCATGGGTTAAATAAATAAAAATTAAAATCAAACCCATTAAAATGATAGCCCAGGTTTGCTCCTGAATTAATCCATTAGACTGTGCTCCCTTATTATTACATGCACAGGGATTTTTTCTTTTGTTTTGTACTGTGAATGTAATTTAAGTGCCACAGTGCATAAAAATGCATCAAAATACAGATTATCAAAATAAAGTGCCAGGGGAGGATCACCCAGAGCCCCTGACAGAGGTTTGTGTTATTTTTTTTTAATATATTAATTATAAATGTTGGTTCACTGACTGGTCCCTGCCTCCTTGCATTTGTAGAAGTGGTCCCAGGCGAAGCAAGTTGAGAATACCAGCCATATGAATTCAAGTGCTTTTGAACAATGGTGTGCAAAGTGTTGATAAAATATACACCTTAAAGCAGTGGTTCCCAACTTGTGGGTCGTGGGTCCATTCTGAATGGACCACACATGAATTGTAAACGTGTCAAATTTGTAAGAAACACACTTTATTTTGAAGTAGAGTGAATTTCTGGCACAGAGGCGGCTACTTGACAGAGACAGCATCTCAACAAAACACAGGTATGATGCTGAATGTATTAAACTGTGTGGACCTTGAACTAATGACAAAGAAAAAAATTGGATCCCGTGGCTGGACCAGTTGGGAACCACTGCCAAAAACTGAGTTGAGTCAGTTTGCCTGATACTAGGTATCCTCAGTCCATTACAGTGTTCCCATTTTGAAATATCTGCAGTGTAGATTATTTATCTTCCTCACTGCATATAGAAGATGAAAGAAAGGACAAGCTTAATCATGTATGTAGTGATGATGTTGAGTATCATGTGAAACATCTAGGAGATATTTACTTGTTCTTGTTTAGAGAGGGCATATCGGTATACATAAAAAGTAAAATACAAGGTTTGATGCTGTACGATTAAAGATGCATTGGTTGTCAATGTGTTAGCAAACAGTTGTCTACTCGTACTTCCAACAAACTAACCAACATGCGTTCTAACGTTGATTTGTACATGTGTTAGTATCTACTGTATGGATTTAAGCATAATATTATTCTGAGTTAAGATGTTTTGGTCTTCACCAGCCCCTCAGGAAAAATTTTCACCAGCTACTCTCATTAGGTGCTCGGCAGGTAGCATACAATAGGTTTATTAGAGCTTAAAAACAGCTGGTAGCTGAGGCTGGAAATAAGGATGATAAGAGTAGTTGACCAGAAAACCAGAACAACCAGCTTAAAGCACCTAAAATACTCCATAGAACTGAGTAGCACTGCAGAGTTGTGTTACATTTTGTTGAGCAATGTCTTCCACATTACACACAGCCATTTGATAATACTATTATAATACTGATTATTGCAGCTTTAAGTTTTAATTAAATGCATGAAAGAAAACACAACACACAAAACTGTTGAGCCAGACTGTCCTTTATAAGTGAAGTTAACATGTTTAGTAAGACACGTTAAATCACAGCACTGATCTACTCTCATACATACAGCTGATGACAAACATCATTTTGATCACCGTCAAGTTTTCTGACTTTGATTGAGTCTGCATTAAATGACTTTTTTTTCCCCCGGTTTCTTCAAACGAAACATTACCAGCACAGCTGACATATAGCCATTAATATCTTATATTTAAAATATTTTTACAAACTGTAAATAGCCAAAATATTACACAGCAGAAAACAAGCAGAAATGCAATACTCATACGTAAGCAAATTAAGTGTTGTTTCGTATCTTAGCTTTGAGCAACTTCACTCCAAACCATTGTCAGTCTCATTCAAAATAACAAACATGCAAAATTCAATTAGATTCACCAAGAAAAGCAGTAAGAAAAGAAAACACCAGATACACTCTTTGGGGTGATAAACACCTGTGCAAATTTCTTAAGATGAGTGAAGCCATTCCGCCTTCCTAAAAACAGAAAAAATATTGACAAATTATATTTTATACTGTTCATGCTTGTGACTTAATGTTATTATCACACTCAACCAGTAATGTGTCAGGGTTAATATAGGTTTAAAAAAGACTGTAGTTTGGTGAAATACTGATTAGCCTTTTAACAGTGATATACATTCAAGTTGTTATCTAGATTGTCTAATTTGCTGGAGTATCAAAAATGTCTGATAGTCACACTGAGTTCACATTATAAAATTAAACTCACGTGTCTCCCATTTCCCCATTGTTCCTCATTTCATGAAGCTTTAGGTGCCCAAGCTCTCTCTGTTGAGACAGTGTACAAACATAATTATTTTGACCATTTAGAAAGGATAGCACCGTTAAATTAAAAATACCCAACTTACTGCCTCCGTTAAGACTATGGGGTGCTCCGGCAAGAACTCCGGCTTCTTCCTGGACTCGGGACAACTTGCCAGACCAATTAAAAAATCTCTTGAGTAAGAGATTCTACCTATGAAAATACACATTTATGTTAAAATCGACATGGCAAGAGTTCGAATCAGGCACATCAAAAGGAAGACAGAAGTAGGTTGTTATTCTGACAATGCAGTACTGTAAAGTAAGAATTTTGGAGAAAATAACCTCCCCGTTTAAAGTAAACACATAAGCATGATAAGAAAAATGTCCAGATCTAGAAGAGCATTGATGCATACGTGTCAATAGCCATTAAAAAACACTTTGTGTCTTACCTTCTTTCTGTTTGGCGAGGTTGACAATCTTGTAGAACTGCTCTATGCCAATATTGGTCTATCAAGCGCAACATTAGAAAACTTTTTTAGAAAACCTAATGTTGTCTAAATCAGCTGCTCAACAGGCAAAAGGTTTATTCAAAGTTATTTCAGTGGGTGAAGAGCTGAACTGGAAAAAATGACTTGACAACAACTTTGATAATCCATATAATTGTTTAGCATGATCATTATAAAGCAAAAAATGCCAGACACTGGGCCTCAAGCAGAGACATTCGCTTAATTTTCTAAGAGAAAACTTAGTACTCTTACCCAGATGTGCTGAATGATGAATCCCACTTGATTATGAATTGTAGGTGAAGCCACAAATTTAAAATCCAGCCATTTTCAGCATTTTATGTTAAAACTTAAGTTTGCTTGCATAGAACAAACAATTTGTGGACTGTGAAAAATATGTTTTTTTTTCTTATCTTGGTAACAGTGCTATTGACCACACCTACAAATTTCCTTGAAAAAATAACAGGTACTTACAAAACAAGAACAAATTATGGATAAAAACAAAAATAAGAGGACGTTTGTCGCTTCATGCATGAGGCCCATTGTCTGGTTTCAAGGTCTCAAACATGATTTGCAGTTTTAATTTTGTAAGGTTGGAAATAATTTTAAGTTGCGACCATAAAATGTTGTCCTCCTTAAGGTTTCTTACCTCTTGATCTTCTTCCGCCATCAGGGCCTGCGCACATGTTGCAGCATTTTTTTGGGGCTCTAAATTAAGTGGTAAAATTCTCATATGAGCATGCCAATACACATGAACACAGTACATTTGATGCATGACGTCTGACCGACTGGTGCAGACTGCTTACCACTGTCAACATGGATGAAGCGGCGCAGGGGTCTGGCAGGCTCCAGATGCTTTTGGAGGACCCTTCTCCTTGATACCTCCATTCTGGTGTCAGTAAGGTTCAAAGGTTTAAATCTTCATCACTCTACAAGGCTTGTGCATCACATTTATACCGATAATGCTGCATTAGTAATGTAAAGTGAAGTTTGAAAGTTTGAAAGTGAGGTTTGCAAATCATTAGGGATTCTATAGTGAAGGCATGTGCAGGGTCAGGCCCAGGAGCAAATCACAGCCCACGGCTTGTCTTTCAAAATTTACTACATGCAGCCCCCAAAAGGCATAAAGGCTGCTGCTTTCAGGAGCGATGGAAAGTTGAATGCTTCATCACTGTAAGATGAAACATTTGGGTTTGTCTCAATTTTATGTGATTTTTTTTAATAACCTATACAATGTGAGAAGCAGCTGGCCCCCAGGTATGTTCACATTATTTAATCTAGGCCCCCATTCAAAAAGTTTGGACACCCCTGCTGTAGTGGGTCACAGCCACAAGCTTTGTGTCAAATGATGCAGCTCTTTTACTAAAAAAAAACACACAAAAAGTCAAGAGAAATGTACAGGGCTTACTATTTAGGCTTCAACTGATCTTTCCCAATTCATAGCAGACAGGCATGTATTTTACTGTATTAAAAGTATGTCAATTAATTAGCTAGATCAGAATTATCCTACATAAT